TTAAACAAGTTCCAACGGGTCCAGGAAATCATGGAGGTAGAATCGCAGCCGGGTCCAGACATCCCTAGATCCCTCCACTCATCCCAAAGAGACTCCAAGTGTTTCAAGACAGCCTTGTGAGGATCCAGCCCTTTCCCGTATGGAATGATTATATGGACTTACAAAATTTGGTGCAACAGGAAGGAGAAGAAAATAATCATACGGATGGGTGGGTCAAAGACTGTTTAGATCATTTAACCTCGAATGAAATTGAACTGTTATGGAATTGCATTTCTGAAATCACATCGGAAATGGGATTGATTTAAAAACCAAAACAAAAAAAAAAAATTTTTTTAATAACAAATTGGAGGAGGGTCATGATGTCAATTAAAAAAAATATTATATAGAGTCCAATCTTGGTGGTTCACTTCAGTTTTCCAGCATGAGGTGATCCACGTTTCCCGAAATATGGATCCCAAGAGAGATTGTGTAGAGCCTTCACTTCAGTTCTTTTTTTTTCTACCAAGAGGAGAGGGTCCCCAAAGGGCTACCCATGTCCAAAGAGAGAAAGTTGTTAGAGCGTTCATTCATTTTTTTTTTTCCAAGTTTAGGGGAGGGAGGTCTCAAAATGACACCCCCCATTTTCAAAGAGAAATGGTTGTTTTTTTGTTTTTTTAGAGCGTTCATTTCTGTTTTTTCCAAAGTTAGGGAGTTTTCAAATGACTACCCATTTCAGAGAGAGAGAGAGAGAAGGTGTGTAGCGTTCATTTCAGTTTTCAAGGTTAGGATGGTGGTGGAGAATCCTCCAAAATGGCTAACTCATCTCAAGAGAGAGAGAGAAAGAGTAGCGTAGAGCGTCATTTCAGTTTTCCAACATTAGAAGGTTCCAAAATACCTTCTGAATTCAAAGAGAGATCGTGTAGAGCGTTTCATTTCCAGTTTCTCCAAGATCAGAAGAAGAGGGTCCGCTTTTCCCAAAAGGGCTTTCCGCATTCAGAGACAGCGAAAAGTGCAGACTCATTTTTCTCCCTCCCAAAGAATAGAGGGGTCCCAAAATGGCTTCCCATTTCAAAGAGAGAGGGAGAGGCGTTCATTTCCATTCTCCAAGATAGGGTCGTCTGCTTTTTCCCAAATGGCTTCCCAAATTCAAAAGAGAGAGAGAGAGAAAAAGGGTGTGTAGAGCGGTCATGTTCATTCTCCAAGATAGGGTCGTCAGCTTTTCTCTCAAAATGGCATCTCCCCATTCAAAAAGAGATCGTAACCAATTTTTTTCCAGTTTTTTCCAAGATGGGGGGGGGGAGAAGAAAACCTAGGATGGAATAACACGACACACAGAGAGAAGAGAAAAAAAAAAAAAACGCCATCTTGTCATTTTCTGATAGGGTACCGGTGTTCGAATACTTTTGTGACCGACTGTACGTAGATAACATCAGCGTAAATAAAAAACTTGGTGCTCCTATCATTCAGTTTACAAAGATCCAACATAAAACAATTGTAGAGGAAAGGCGATAAAATGGCTCCTTGTGGAAGGCCCTTAGACATGAGCTTATCTGTTGATAGGATAGATCTCCACTTTACAGAAATAGTACGATTAGTAATAAAATTGTAGATCCAACGCACCAGGGTAGTGTTCATGCCCATCTTTTCAAGCCTTTCAATCAAAATCTCATGTTGCACGTTATCGTAAGCTCCTTTGATATCTAAGCAAATTAAGTAATTTTCCAAATTTTTGTTTCTGGCTGACCAGACAGAATCATAAATATCTCTAAGACAGTCAGTTACGCAAATGCCTTTTCTAAAGCCATAAATATTTGAGGAAAAATTTTTTCTGTGTCAGCCCACCACTCTAGCGGCGGCGCAGGATTATTTTTCAAGGGTTTTCCCAATGACAGACGTTAAAGAAATTGGCCTGTAATTTGCAATCTGTTTCCCGTTTTTATTCGGTTTTAAAATCGGAACAACCCAGGAAGTTTTCCAGATTGTAGGAATATTACTTGATTGCAAACTTTCATTATACATCTCAAGAAGGGCTTTCTGCGTATATTTGGCGGCGACCCTCAGACTTTTGTAAGTAATTCCATCAGGACCCGGGGAGGAGTTTTTCTTACTCCTTTAGTGCGTTCATTAATTCTTTGGCGGAAATTGGCTCAATATTAGCCAAAGGAAGGTCGATAGGAACCGGCTGGTTAGTATTGTCATTGGCGCTGTAATATTCCACGAAAATATCCGCCTGGGCAGCCTTGTCTAATACATCTGCGTTTGAGTGAGTGATCACGAAATTAGCTTCCAAGGGAGAGACCAATAGATATTTTTTAAGGTTTTTTACATTTCTAAAGACTTGCTTGCAAGAATAAGCTTCATAGGAAATCTTTGCCCAGTACTTTCGTTTTGCTTTTATTAGCTCTCTTTTGTATTTAGCGTTTGCACCCTTATACTCCACCCAGTCGCTAGGATTAAGTGATCTTAGTGCCCTTCTTTTCAACTTATCTCTAAGATGTTTGAATTTGGCGCACTCCAAACTGAACCATGGGTTTTTTGGCTCGACCTTGTAGGTGATTTCTCTGGAGTGTGTCTTGATGGTACTGTTAATTACAGTGGTATAAGCGTTAACTTTATCCTCCATATTACCAGCGTGGCTCACAGGCAAACGTGACAGAGATATACTGACATCTCGCCAATTTGTATATAGCTTTTAATTTTTCCAGGTCTCTTCTTAAAACTTATGATTAAAACTTAAGATACACAGGGAAATGATCACTTTGACCCGTATCATCAAGTCTCTGGAACGACAGCTTGGACGCGATATTGACATTTGCCATACAAAGGTCGAGGATTCCTCCTTCTTGGCCCACGATAAATATGAGTAGGTTTCTTATTATTTAGAATGATCATATTAGAGTCAATTAGCCAATTCATGAACTTTTGACCGCTGGGCGATGTAATACTATCTCCAAAATTTCTATGGCGAGCGTTGAAATCGCCAACCAAAATCGTAAAAGGATCCTTAAAGGAATCCAAGACCATTGAGTCTTCTGGTTTAAATCTTCCGGAAGGCCTATAGCAATTTACTATAGTAAATGTTTTACCGTAAGCATGCACTTTGATACTTAGAACTTCCATGTCAGATTTAATTCCAGTATCTGGAAGTTTGGAAACAGGTAGATTTTTTTAACACAAAAATGGCAAGGCCACCGCCTTTACTAGGGAAAATTCTTTCTTTTAAAAAACTGTTATATCCAGAGAGGAAAGGAACCCTAGGGTTCCGACTCCAGGTCTCCTGGAGACACACAACTGAAGGTTTTAACCAAGAAACAAAAGAAGACAAGAAACTCAAGTTCGCCTCGAAGCTTCGACAATTCCAACTTAAGATAAAACACATGAAATTAGAAAGTATCATCATCAATTTGAGGAATTTCCTCTTCTTGAAGCGTGTCTGGCCCATTATTCCAAGATATCAGAGGAGTAACCTCCTGAATAGTATTCAAATTTAGATGTTTCTGTTTGAAGATTTTCATATGCAAGGCAGGTCTTTTCAAGATCCTTGTATTTTTGGATTTGTTTTAGGGAGTTTTCATACAGGCTTCTAAGTTTTGTATTTTCTGTTTTAAGTTTGTTATTAACTTCCTTAAGATTTAAATTATCTGCATAAAGAGAATTAATTTTCCTTTCGAGATTTTCTAATCTTGCGACTATCTTATTTAATACATTTTCCCCTGGTTTCTCCGATACCGCGCCTTTAGTATTTTTATTTCTATTGGTGTTAGTAGAGTATTGTTCTTCCTCTTTCTGGACAACTTCTGCCCTGGAACAATAACTGGAATTCTGGATAAGTTTTTTTCAATGAAGATTCACGCTTCTGTCCGTTCGCTTCCCCTTTTTTGATACTTATTTTTGGGCAAGATTTGTCTAGAGCATTGTGCTCACCTCCACATCTAAAGCAACTGGTGTTATTTTTACATGGGTCGTTGCAGTCATTTTTACCACAGTTCGCACATCTAACTTTGCTTTTGCAGAGTTTCGACTTGTGGCCTATATTACAGCACTTGTAGCATATTATGGTATTTTCAATATATTTACTTACCGCAAAATTTATTCGACCTATTTTGATATCAGACCGATAACAGGAACCAAAGTTCCTTAATCAGAATTATTGGCACCTTTCGTCCGACCTTGGCTTAGTAAATCTTATTATACACGATGAAATTTAATCTCACTTTCTTCTAGGCCAGCTGCTATGTCTTCTAAACTAAGTTGTGTGTATCAACATTTTTAACTATATGTTTAGTTGTATACGTATCTTCAATTATAGTGGCCTTTACTCCTACACCTTCCAAGGATTTTACTTTACAGACGTTTTCTATTGTTTTGATTCTTTTCGTGGAAATTATGATTTTTTTTTCTTTCGTGATGTACATATTATCTTCTTTATTAGTAATTTCGTTTCAAATAGAACCTTTTTTTGAGCAACTTACCTATCGGGGATACCAGATTCAATTGCCCTTCAGAACAATTTTGACCTCTTTTGTACCATTTTTAAGAGCTATTTGACCTTGTCAATATCGTGATGACTTTCTCATTTAAAATTGAACCTTTTTTGACCTATTTCAAAGGGCTTTTGTACATTTTAGAGATTTGACCTTGTCAATAGGGGTTATGTCTGCACTATAAACGTTCCCATTTGTTTTCCTCTCTTTGTTGCTGCCACTGTCCATATCACTATCTGTTTTCCGCTTGAGTTCGTTAGGCATAATCCCTAACGATTCTTCTGGAAACAGATTACATTCGAAATACTGGAAAACCTGTAGAAAATATAAATAAATAAACTTATCGCATAACGAAAAACTATTCCTTATCAAGAGCACTCACTACCACACTCCCTAGTTTCAGTTATTCTTCAAGTTCCGTATTATTAAATACCTGGATTTGTGCTTTTCGTTGTCGTTGTCAAATGATAAATATTTGAAACCGAATTTTAAAGCTGTGTAAGCAGTTGTGACCATTGTAAACTGAAGAGAAAATGATGTGAACTGTCGGAAGCGAAGTCAGTCGTCTTGTACTGTGATTCCCGGTGTGTGGTGTTGTTTTTGTGTGAGTTGGAACGGTGATTTAATGTAACATGGCATTGATTACAAATGCATTTACTTTTTTCTGTAGTTTAATATCTAAAGTCAGGATTCATTCTATATGAAATGTGTGTAATATTATAATTTGATGTTGCCCTCATGCAGCAAGATATATTTAAAAACCAAGATGCCAGGATGCGAAAACCCAAGGTAAATAATACTTATTTTTTTGCATACTATATTATTATTTGAGAATGAACTTTAGTGCCCGTTTTGAATAAATGTTATTGTCTAAGATACTTACCTTCATATATATACATATAATAGTAAAACATAATTTCGAGTTAAATCTTGTTCGTTGGAATTCATTATTTTAGAAAATATAAAATAATTGTTGTAAATAAGTTAAATCATCAAGAAGGTTCTTCTATTAACTTATTAATTAATTTCTCCTAATAACTTATTTCACTTTATAAACTGCCATTTTATTTTAATTGCACACTTTCCGAATTTCATATTCGAAAATTAGTGTTATTGCAAGAACTGAAAAGGTTATGTTTGGAGAAAACTATTACTTTTCAAAAATGAGAATTTTTGTGAATAAGCTATGAAATTCATCGGAAATTAACCATTAAGTAAACATTTTTAACCAAATAACTTTATTTGTTTATTTTTAACTTTTAAATGGCAGATATAATAGAGCAAACAACTTTGAATATTTTATATTTTCATTCCTAAATTGAAGATTTTTAATATTTTGAACTATGACTATATTTCAAAAGAGTGACATCACTTTGCGTATCAAAGTGTTTAGTTTTTTGTGTAATCATATTCATTTTCTGGTAACTGAAGAACCAAAAAGAAATTGACTTCCTTCATTCCTAATATATTTTTTTCAGGAGGGAAAAAAGTGTGTTATAGAGTGAAAAGTTACTTTCATAAAATGCTACGAATATTATTGATTACCAAAGTATGTTTGTTCTTATATCTGTATGTAAAATATTTTATACATCTTTTTTATAATGAAAATCAAAATAAGATCAAATAAGTGGTGATTTAATTTCAGAACTATGTAATTAAAATTTTTTAAATGTACATTATTTCTGTATGTAGTAGTTTTTTTTTTTTTTTTTTTTTTTTTTGCTTATGTTTTATTAATATAGCTTTACATCTTAAACAAAGATATGTGGGATGCAATGGGAAATAAATAATGGGATAATAATAATAATGATAAATTATAGGTTTCCCCATAAAGAACTTTCTTTTTATAAATTGGTTTCGGGGAAATTGCAGAATCACCCACTGCTTGGCGCATTTTTAAGGTTTCCACAAACTCGGTATCCGTATGCACATCGACCAATTAAAAAAAATCAGAGAATTGCACAAACTCGGCATTGCTCACCCCCTTGAATGACCATGTACACATCGATCTATTTTCACTTAAAAGGTCAAAGGAGATTGATAAAAATTGACAAAAATCCAATTCTTGGTTGATCTTTACATTATGGTAACTTGGCGTTTTTTTGGCGAAAATTTGGCGACCAACCTGCCTACAGCAACCCTATATTTTTTTTCCCCGCCTTTTGTTCACGAAGTAAAAGACTGTTTCTTTTCTTTTTATCTACTGACACTTCTTCCAACAATCTACTAGCCAAATAACACTTATGCTAGAAAAATTTATCTAACAAACTGCTTAATCATGACAAATATCACTGCAAAATTTGGAAAAAGTGCACAATACCATACTACGCGCAAAATAACACATACACATAAACCATGTACACGCCCACCCTTTTTACTTTAAAAAAAAATCCCGAATTGCACAAAAATGGCATTGCGCACAATCTTTCACTATATCCTTGTACACTGCTTTTTTCTCATAAAATTAGAAAATTTCATGAAAATGCAAATGAACATTTTGTGAACTTTTAATCCGGTAAAAAAAAAGATATGAATTACCTGTCGCGAAAAAGTATATCACCCTTTATCAAGGACGAACATTTCCCGTATAAAATAAATAAATATCCAAGAACTTTTACCTCTAAATTATCTATTATATTATAAATGTCAGCAACGAATTTATACGCAAACATTTAAAATAGTTACAATAAGAGTGTCAAATAGTAAATTTCCATAAACGTTTTACTTCAACTGAAAACGTATACCAAATTCCTACAAACATAAATCACAAAATAACTATCATTTAATTAAAATATCACTAAACCATGTACACATCGACTTATTTTACTTAAAAAAAAAAATATCCCAGAATTGCACAAAATGGCATTGCACACATCTTCATATATCCCATGTACAACTGCTTTTTTTGTCATAAATTAGAAAAATTTCACGAAAAATGCATGAACCATTTTTGTGAATCTTTAAATCCGGTAAAAGAAAATAATGAAATTACCTTATGCGAAAAAGTATATACCTTTCCAGGATGAACATTTCCACGTATAAAAAAATAAAATATCCAAGAACTTTTACCTCTAATTATCTTATTATATTTATAATGTCAGCAACGAATTTATAACGCAAACATTAAAATAGTTACAAATATTATTGTCAAAATATTAAATTATTTCATTAAATTTTACTTCAACTGAAACGGTATAAATTCCTACAAACATAAATTCACAAATAAACTATCATTAATTAAAATATTACTAAACCTGTACAGTGACTTATTTTTACTTAAAAAAACATTCCAGAATTGCACAAAAACGGCATTGCGTACATCTTCATCTACACCTTTTTTCTCATAAAAGAAAAATTCACGAAATGGATGAAAATACTCAACGTATTCTACTCAAACGTATTCCCAAAATACACCAACCAAAATCAGTCGACATAAATTAATAATATAATTAAATTAAAAAACTTACTAAATATAATAAGCACATACATTTAATTAATAAAAATTAGATTACAATCCTTAATACTTTAAACTAACCATTGCTAATAACTATTTTCCAATAATACACATTAATTTATTTGCTCCTACATTAGAACAATGCATAAAATAATATCCTCAAATGATAAAATACTAACTTATCCTAATCTTCATTAAGTGGCTGCACAGTACTATGCTAATTTCTAATCCGAAATCCAGTAGTCAACTGGACGTCTTTCACCAAGTAATAAAATTAATAAAATTTCACCTATACTCAAACTATTTTCAGCAAAACCACGTACCCTCCTAACGTTTCACAAAATGTCATTTTCACCAGATTTCTTGCACCGCTATTTAAACTAACTGTAATATCCTCCTTTCACACAATCTCAATTATTTTATTATCAGATTAAAAGTTAGAATCACTTTACATGCGCCATGCAATCCGAAAATTAATCAACACATTTCACACAACGCACAATGAAGCTTAATACAAAATAATTTTCCAAACTAAACCCTTCCGATTAAAGAACTGTAATTCATCCATTAAGTCACATGACATATCTAAGACTCTCATTCCCTCACACAAAATATGCGTAATCGAAAACCGTACTTCTACATTATTACAAAAGTCCTAGGTAGTAACCTTTATCGCCTCCAAAATGTCCCAAACTACCTGTTTACATATTCAAAGATCAGCCGTCTTTATTCATAAAGTACAGTTTCATTTTTTTTATAATTTTGATGCCACTTAACAGATTTATTTAAACTAAAGATCTATAATCCGGAATCGCCGAAGTCCCGACGAGTCCGGATAAACAACTTTTGAGTGTACAACCCTTCAGTAACAGACAATGCTATTAAGTTATCAGAGTAACCGAATTTCTTTTGATTCAGCGTTAATATGCCCCTTGTTTCTTCGCGATTCTTTTTTGATGCCAAGATCAGTGCTAAGAAGTCATAATTTCGAGATGGCCGCTTCACAAAACCAAAATAAGAAGTCAAAGAATTGCACAAACTCTGTGTCCATGTACACATCGATCTGTTTTCATTAAAAACATCCCAGAATCCACAAACTAGGCATTGAGCACTGCCTAAATTTGTCCATGTAATCATCTTTTTCATTTAAAAAAATCAGGAAGCTAAAACAAAGTTCTATCATGGTAACCATAAATGAGGTTTCATCGCCAAAATTAAAAAAAAAAAAAAAAAAAAAAAAAAATGTTGCTAATCAAAGGGGCTTCCAATTCTGCAGTAGAGCCTAATTTTAGAACAAAAATAAAAGTCCAAATTTTTCTTCTCGTCTTCCATTTTAACTTACTGAGGTTCAATACCGTGAGGTTCAGAATACCGTGAGTTCAAGTAATTCTTGGTAAATAATTGTTCTGATCTATTAGTGTTTTATTGCTCATGTTTACTGATCATATCATATCCATTAATATACACTTTGTTTGATCCCACAACTTAAAAAATAATCCACTGTTTGCTGTCCTGTAGAACGCAGGTCCCAAATTTTAATCGCCCCCCTAAAATGCAGGAAATTAAAATACAAATATATCAATCACAGTTAATTTACATCTTTGTTCATATAAACTATAGGTGGCTCATGGATAATCAATTGGAGTTACATCAAATACCGAATGATTGACACCAAATTGCACTGCTTTGCAACAGTTTTACAGTCAATAGGATGATTTGTAAGTACAGTTCAAACTCAAAATTCCGGACATCCATTATCTAGAATGATCTAATATCCGGATCTCAAAACCACCACCAATGTTTTTTCTAGTAGCCTTTACACATGTGCGTTTGATTCCCCACCTCCCTCTGCGCATAATAAAACATCTAGAGAGTCCCTATTCTTAATTTCACTAACACTAAATAAAATACCTTGTTATTGAAGAAACAATAATTTTAGCATAAATTTGTACGATCAGTAATTTGGCTTAATTGCTACGTATCTGCTTGGCATACATCTCAAACCGAAACATTCCACATAGATAAATTGTTGATCCTGACACCAAACCTGGCGAATCATATTTAGTATTTCCTTTCATCACCGCCATGTTATCAAACATGAAACTTGTACTACTCGTATAGCAATGCCAAACATTTTTTTTTTATGTTAGTAATGAATAATAAAGGAGTATGGTAACCTTTTATGTTAACATAAGCTTGCAATAGTATTAATTAATTTAAAAAAACGCTAAAAAGTATTGAAGAGGAAAATTTACCGAAAATTCTTTCCATATGTAAAATAGATTGTTGATGATATCATAACCCCAATATTACATTTAGGGCTATTGAATTAGAATAGATGACTATTTATTACATAACCAAACCACTCAGGGCTCGTATGGTTGACCGAGTCGCGAATTTCAGACCCATAAAGATTGCATCAGGCGTAAGCTATCTAGTGCTGCCACATAAGGCTTTTAAGTATATGTGAGAATTTCTTTATTCAGAACTTTAGTATAAAGAAGAGTTTTAGAATATGATGTTGAATTAGGTAAAAAAACTGATAAATATAATTAAAGATTATTCCCTTTCATTTATAATAACTCGGTTACAAGTTTTAAGTAATATTTTTTAAAAAATCCTTTTTTTATTCCCTTTCAGAAATATTCAGAGAAAGTTAAGTACTGTTTAATGTATTTCACTTTTAAAATAAAAGGTGCTATAATTTGAAATGGACTGAATAGAGCATTAATTATAAATTGACGTAGATTTTTCGATTTAAAAAATGCCTCAGAAGCTAAAAAATCATGTCATATTTGAGAAAGTATTTTGGGAAGAATCTCTATAAATAAAGCATATTTTGAACATTAATAATACATTAAACTTTGATCTGAATTTTGTTATACTTAACCACGAATAAATCGAAGTACTTAAATTTTTTCTAATGAATTTTAAGAAACTTGTGAAAATATTCATTCAAATTAAACCGTTCTGTGAAAAGTATAGCATTTAATTCCGTTCAAAATGAAATGTTATTTAAAAATATATTCTTTTCATATACTTAGGACTGTGGAATATTGTAGAAAAAAGAAAATATATGCATTTATATGTATATTTATGACGCAATTACAAAATATTTAAATGCGATCGTGTCAAAACCCATTGAACTTGAGTAAATGACCCAATGTTTTGGTCACCACGAAGGGATCACCAGTGCTTCAAAGCAGTTTATGAGGAAAACTGGTTAGGGCCACTCCATTTTACTTCCTGCTTCCATGAGAGAAACATATGTTTGGGTATCCATTTTTTGTATGCTTCTTTTCCCATGGAAAATGCTCTACTCAAAAGTAATTACATCAATCTATAGTCTTTTGGGCTAATCCCAGTTCTTCACAGAATTCCATCAGCATTTTTTTTTTGTTTGTTTTTTTGTGTCTAACCAAAAAAAAAAAAATAAAAATAAATAAATAATAATAAAAATAAAAAATAAATAAATAAATAAAGTGGATAGCTGTCATAAATGAAATATGGCTGATTTAAATTACTTCGTGCCCTATATTCTTACACTTTGCTTGCAATTTTCAAATTGCATTTCTATCAAATTTGCTGCTTTAAGAAGTAGTATAACTTCATAGAATGTGAGGTTTTTGCATTCTGTATTACTGGTCAAAATGTCATATTTTTAAAGAAGTGCACTGCTTCTTTTTTTCCATCGAACATATCCACAATTCAAACACCTCAGTCCTGTTGCAGTTAGCTATAACAAAAATTGTGACACTCACTCAGTTGAAAAAGAAATATTAATGAAAAAATTGACTGTTGCTTCTTAGCGGCCCAAACCTACATGGATCACCAAATAAATACTTTTAGGAGATAATTTTTTGTGGCTTTTCATTGGGAGCCGAGTAATCAGAAAGCATCAAACATACTTTAAAACAGAATGATTAATAGTTTGCTTATATACTCTTAATCTGATATCTTTAAAACCTGAAAAATTGACAACAGTACCCTCTCCAACATTTTAACTCCAGACCTTCCAGTTGCTAGCTAGATATGCTTGTCAGTTACACCACATAGGCTCATGATAAGAAGAGAAAAAAATGCCTTATGTACTTTTTAAAAAGGCAACTGAGGAGATGGGGGAGTCGCTAAATCCTGGTCATAACAAATTATCATCCACCACAACATTTTTGGTTCAAGTACCACTTGTAAAGCAATTTTGAATTTTTAGAACCTGGAAACAGGAAGAATGTGCGATGCCCTTGCAGGAATTGGAATTCCAAATCATCTGATTGCTAGCCAGATTTTAATTATGCTTTCCCATGCATTCCAATTATGTTACAGAAGCACATCTCAAGAAAAAAGAAAATACAGTCAAAAGTCGTTAATCCGGACTCGTCGGGACTTTGGCGATTCCGGATTATAGATCATCAGTTTAAATCTCTTAAGATGGCATGCAGAAATTCTAAAATTAAAAATATGAAGCCAAAATTTATGAAATAAAGAACAATTATGATCTAAATGGTATCAAAATTTACAAAAAAGCTTAATATTTATTTGTTTCCTTTTTAAACATTTATTTCATGTAAGTTGTTAAGTTGCTTCATTTTATGTGATAATACTTTCTCTTTAATTCTATAAACAGACATAATTTCCTGTTCATAGTTACAAAGTTCCGCTGTTCAAGTCCCGTAATTGCGTGCCGAGAATACCGACAACTGTCACTCGAAATTTTTCGTTTTCACTAACCTCTCTGTCATCTTCTTCATGTCTTTATCCATTTTTGCTAGCAATTCCACTTTTTTTTGATGGACATCGAAACATATTTCGTTTCGTAGATCCTTGGGGGCTCCAGCATCGGAAATTTATTGGCATAATCGAAAGTTTCAAGTTACTTTTATAAAATTGCTCTTACAGTCTGGAAAAAATAATAAGCCGGATCCAATTCGAAGATTAAGGAACAACACAATCATCAACGTTAACTAAAATAGATAATTAGATAATTTTAGCTTATACCGTCCGCTATACATAAAATGCGCATGCGAAAACGTATTCTGCGCTTGTGCACACGCATATGCACAGTCGTAAAGGTCTTACAAACATGCGTAAACGCCTATGCGCATGTGTCAACACAGCACATGTGTCAACGCGGCGCATGCATAGAAAGCTTTTAGCTTTGAGGTCTGGATTATAGATCATTCTGGATTATAGGTGTCCAAATTAACGACTTTTGACTGTGTCATGCAAATTTTCATAGGAGTCTGTGGAAAATAGGTTTTTAATAACTTATTGCTTAATTTATTTTTGGAATTTAGCGAATTATTTTAATGAGCGAGTCGATATTTTTATTACATTATATGCAATATAACAGGTTGAGAAAGCTTACTGTTGTGCATAAAAGCAGTTTCTAACTACCGAGACATCATTTGCATCTCTGCTGTCATCTCATGCATTTTCTTCTACTTTTTGTATTTCCCTGGAAATTTTGCTGTATTTTGATGGTTTGCAATAGTTATGTTTTTCATTGCTCTACAATAAGCAATCCTTTTAACCCAAAGGGACATTAGTCTTGAAGCGGATTTTGTGTTGAATCAATATACAAAAATTATAAATCATTTTCAATTTTTTTTATTTTATTTATTTTTCAAGACAAGGTCTTATTCATTACAGGGATGATTGTAGTCCAGATATAGCCAGAATTCATGGAATGCAAACTCATTATCTTTCTCAAATTTAATTTCAGAACCTATATATCATTCAGATATAAAAATTACATTGTTTAAAGCTCAGTGAAAGATCAAACTTTGTGTGTGAGTACCCTGAATTTGCTCAAATGGAAAATTTATCATATACAGAAAAGCTATTTTTGCTATTTGTGTAGTACAAAAACAAATTTATGTTGTGAAGTTTTGGCTGAAATATTCAGGCTAAAAGAAAAACAGAAATACCCAATATTAATAAAATTAAATCTGTTTTAACCTGCACAAAGCTTTTGTTGAGTTCGTTTATTTATGTGGCTGATATTATAACAGAATGTGGACACCATTGAACATGATAGCTTAGATGCTATGCAGACTGTGAAATATTATTTATTTTCATTATGCTACAAACTTGTGCAGCTTTTTGGTCACAATATCCTTCCGAAGATTCTTCTGGTAAAGTTATTAAGGATAATTTGTTGAATAACTGTTGGACAGCTTACAACATTTTTTTACATTCAGTGAGCCATTCTCCTTATCTCAAACAGTTATTAGGATAAATATTTAAAGGATTAAGTGAAAAGCCAATGTCTTGCAATTATACTAAACTTTCAACTGTTAGCAATGAAAACTGTAAATGCAACCATTTCAAAAACAATCTCCCATCCCTTGCAAAATTGAATTTTTATGCTCAGCTTATGAAATTGTTTGAAAGTACATGTGTATGCATTTCACATTAATATTCTGAATTATTCAAAATTATGTAGGATGTTTTTATCCTACAGAAGTTTTGGGGATTTTTGAAATGGGATTACTATCATTTCTGTTATTAGGAGTTGACTGTATGTATATTTGTTTTTATGAAATCACATTTGTTTTTGCCGTATTTATTAAGTTATATTTTTATTAATTTCTTAGATCATCTGCATGGTGATCAGCTTGTTTGTGATATGGGGTTTGCTGTACGTGCCATTGAAGCCAGGATCTCATCTTCCTCTGCCAGAGAACCTCTCTTGGATGATGTCTCAGCGTGACCTTAACAAATATATCCTTCCAAATAACGATACTAGTATACTTTTGCCAAAATTACAGTGCAGTGGTAGCATCTTTCTTGTTGTGGTAGTTTGTTCTGCAGTTCCTAATTTTGAAGCCAGGCGGGCCATTCGCAATACTTGGGTACAGGATGCCAGGAAACTCCACAGTGTTCAGGTTTTCTTCCTTTTGGGCAAATCCAGGAATCAGACTGTTAATGTTGCTGTTGCCAATGAGAGCAGCAAGTATGGTGATATCATCCAGCAAGACTTTATCGACACATACAATAATTTAACTTTAAAATCTGTGATGTTACTGAAATGGACAAATCAGAACTGTACAAATGCTAAATATGTGATGAAAACAGATGACGATATGTTCGTCAATCTTCCAAATTTATTCCGGCTCCTGAAAGCAAAGGGGCACAAGGGTTTGTTACTTGGTTGCTTAATCAAAGGTGCTGTTCCAGTCAAAGATTGGAATTCCAAGTGGTTCGTCCCTGAAGTGGTATTTCCAGGACGTGTCTACCCTCCTTACCTCTCAGGTACTGGGTATGTTATGTCCCGAGATGCCGCTGACCTTCTTTATCGAACTGCTCTCAGCACTCCCTTTTTTTACCTAGAGGATATTTTTGTAACTGGTATTTGTGGAAATAGAGTTGGTCTAAAACCTATAAATAATGATGGCTTCAAATTTTACAAACGGAAGAATGACATGTGTGTTTTCAGGGCACTCATTACAGCCCACAAAATGACTCCAAAGGAGCTGGTACAAGTATGGAAAAATATTCGCAATCCGTCCGTCAAATGCAAGTCCTGAATGGGGTAAAAAATAGGACTAGGGGGGGTCTAATTTTGTGATGTTTTAGTTAAAGAAGCTTTGGTGTCTGCCATCCCGAATACTTTTGGATAAAAAGTGTTCAATAAACTCTGTCCAAGAAGAATTTTATAGTACACTTTCCATCATTTGAATAATTTTTTTTAATAGCTAAAGGCAGTTTTTTTATGTGCCCCACTGAAATTATGGATTTCAGCAAAGTGCCATTTTCATAAACTTTCATTCTCTGACTATTTGCCCTTTATGTTATTGATAATTATATATTGTTTGGTTCTAAGTCTGAAGCTTGAAGTTATGCCATTCTGCAAATCGGTAAGAATAAGTTTTGTTCCAAATCAATATTGTTTTAAAATCTGAATCATTCATTCTTAACCAGTTTCTATTCTTAATGTAAAGTTTCAGTAAAATGTTTTGGTAATTTCGAAGTTGATAAAATATATGATAATACAGTGACTAAAATTCCATCCATTATATTTTTTGCATTCTAAAGATGAATAGTCTTGGAATATTTAATTTTCAGGTATATTATGGTTGAGGGCTGAACTCCTTACCATAGGTTGATATAGTAAAAAAAAAAAAAAAGTGTTTGTTAATGTTTGATCGTTTCTTTAAAATTTAATATTCTTTGATTTTTGGTGTTATGATTTAAAACATTTATCCTATTTTTAGATATCATACAGAATTTTTACTTGGAAATTGATATATGTATGTCATAAATTGAAATTTTTATTATTAGTGTTAAAAGGTGATATTTACCATTTTTATTTGAGTGTATGTATTTACTACAGTCAAAAGTCGTTAATTCGGACACCCATAATTCGGAATGATCTATAATCCGGACATCAAAACTAAAAACTTTCTGCGCATGCGCCACGTTGACACATGCGCAGAGGCGTTCACGCGTGCGCGTAAGACCTTTTACGACTGCGCATATGAGTGTGCGCAAGTGCAGAATACGTTTTCGCGTGCGCATTTTATGTATAATGGACGTATAAGCTAAAATTATCTAATTATCTATTTCAGTTAATGTTGATGATTGCGTTGTTCCTTAATTTTCGAATTGCATCCGGCTTATTATTTTTTGCAGATTGTAAGAGCAATTTTATAAAAGTAAGCTTAAACTTTCGATTATATCAAATAGAATTTCCGATATATATTTGTTAATATGTAAAGGATCTAAAGCGAAAGTATGTTTTGAAATCCGAAATCTGTTTATCAATTTCACGCTGCTCGGCGGGGGGAATGCCTCGGGCGCACTAATGAATTGGAAGTTGTTTTGTCAGCACTATCCTTATCTTCAAGCGCAGATGTTTTTATTTTATTTGGCTTATAATTCCTTACCAAATGTAGTATTTCATCTCTCGATGCATGCTCCGTCTTTGATATGATTTAAAACAAGTTCCTCGTCATTATAATTCGCTTCCGATAGCGAAGAAAAGTGACAGAGGTTATTGAAAACAAAAAAATTTCGATTGACAAATTAGTCGGTGTTCTTGACACAGCAATTTTAGGACTTGAACGGCGGAACTTTGTAACTGAACAAGAAATTATGTCTGTTTAATAGAATTAAAGAGAAAGTATTATCACATGAAACGAAGCAAAACTTAAACAACTTACATTGAAAGAAATGTTTAAAGTAAACAAATAAATATTAAGCTTTTTCTTTTTGCAAATTTTGATACCCTTTAGATCATAATTGTTCTTTATTTCATAAATTACGGTTTCATATTTTTAATTTTAGAATTTCTGCATGCCATCTTACGAGATTTAAACTGATGATCTATAATCCGGAAAAATCGATAATCCGGAATCGCCGAAGTCCCGACGAGTCCGGATTAACGACTTTTGACTGTATTTAAAAAACTATTCTGTTGCAAGAATGGATATTTCATATTAAGCTGTAATAGCTAACATGGCATCTGAAAGATACACAAAATAAAATAAAATATTAACAACTTAAAAGAATTTTTATTTATTTAGAGAGTTCATCATTGGCAAGTCACATCACCTAATCATTGACCTTTTCAATCAAGATATATGATTAAATTCCTATGGAAATTCTCTCATTTTCTGAAATACTGTTTATAAGAGATTGACAGTAGTTTCTGAAATGGCAGCATCTCTCTTTGTGTTTATAAATTGCCTTCTAAACTCAGAAATGCCACATTTCCATTTTATGTGGACTAAGGGTCATATTAAATTAAATTTCAAAAATATAAAATAAACTGTTTGCATTAAGAAAGACAATAGATGACTAAATATTTAAGCTTGCAATAGTAAAATCCTATTTATTCACGATGCATAAAATCAGTGTGTAGTATGATATTTTCAAAAATTTCATGTTTATTTTTTAGTTTATTCATTCAAATTACATGTTCTCTCAGATGTCATGTGTTTCAAATAGTGAAGGTTATTAGCTAAAGGTTAGTTAATCTGCTTACTATTATTGCAACAATTTTGTTTACAGAATAGTGAGAAATTATCTTGTGGGAAGTGTCAAAATTGTCTCTTTGACAAATTTGTTAAGCTTTTGATTTGAGGGAAATCCTGATCTTCTGATTTCAATCTCATTTCATTTATCAGCATTCAGTACAGAGTATCATAATGATTCTAGGTTAAAGGATGAAATAGTATTAGATATTGTTTTGTGGGGTCTTGCATATTAGTGCAACCATTGTGATGCAGTTTGTAAATTTTACAGAAGAATAATGACTTATAACTGTAAAAAAATATTTGTTACTTGTAAACAATAATTGCAGAATATTTTGCATTTTAAGTAGGTATTTATCCTCTGAAAAATAATCAAACAAATGTGCTTTTTTTCTGATGGAAATTCTGTAATGATCATTTAAAGAAGAGAGAGAAAGCACTCGCTGCCTTTAGTGATTTTGTGGCAAAATGCCATATTTCTACAGAAAAATTTTTTCCCAGTTTTATCCAGTGCAGACAAATAATATAAGTACATATTTTAAAATTAAGACAAAACACATTATGATGTATCCATAAAAACTATTGGAATTTGGAATACAACAAAAAGAAAGCAAACAAAAATGGCTATGATGGTTGTTAGAACTTACGAATAGTCCTGCATACGGTTGCCTGAAGAATTGCTATGTGCGTGGTTACTAGAATTTGGCACATTCCGAAACTTTGGTTATTTCTATTAAGCTGTTTGTAATAATACGCAAGCATACCATTTTTTGTGTCAAAATTGATTAAAATTGTGAAATGTCTTCCTCTTACGTACTATATTACTATTTTTCTATTGTAAAGCACATTTTATAATAGATTTAAAAAAGTGAATTTTTCGGTAACTACTTTTCCAATTTAAAAAATCTGTATTCAAATGTTTTTCAAGCTGCTATCGAATCTTTCAAAGTATCCAATACAAGTATCCAGAGATGCCAACTATTTGAAACTGTCTATAATTTTCAATTTTAAGGTAAAATTGTAATGTTTTAAATATTTACTTGAAACAGATTAGAAAATTTAAAAAAATTAAAAAGATTTTAGAAATTTAAAAAAAAAAAAAAAAACTTTTTCATTGCCATACTGTCCACACAGATTGTGTGGAGTTAGGAGAGACTGCATTAAATTTGGTCATGTAAAGGTAGAAAATCTTAGATAAAAAAGTGTTCTATATTTTTCTCAGGCTTGTGATACAATGGATTGGATTGGTCTTGATCAGTCACTACCATTTTTGAATGGTTATAGTTATGATTAAATTGATCATGTGAATCAAAATTTAGTTGTACAATGAAGCCTGCACTGTTGATGAAGGAAATGTAAAATATGTAATGCAGAGAAATTAATTGCTAATACAGAGGTGCCTCTCATAATGAATGCATGTGTGAAGCAAAAAACATCAGTTTAGTTCTAGTTTATTTAAGTTCCTTCAATGTTTTGAAGTGTGTGCCACTGTATAAACAGATCCGCTGCCAAGTTAGTATAGTGGTTAGTGACACTGTCTGCCATACCCTTGAGCTACTCAGTTACTCAGGTTCAAATCCTGGAGAAGGAATGGATATTTTTTAGTATGTGTGTAGCAAGAAGCATTCAAAACACATGGCTAGCCAAAAGTCCTCCCAAGAAATCTTAGTAGGAGAAGGAAGAGGAATGGGAGTTTCTTGAACCATGTCTGGTGTGTTCTTCCTCAAAATTTAGGCAGAAGGCTTAACAGTTAGCTAGGTTCAGCAAGACATCAATCACTTGTGGTACTATACATATGCTGGCATAGCCTGGTCCTGTATGACCAGGTTCATAACTTTGAAAATATTTCCTTACTTGCTGTTGTGTAGAAGGCAGGTATAAAATTACAATTCTGTTTTCTAAATGAAAGAGAAAAACACAGAAATAGCAGTTAACTTGTATCCTCCTTTATAAAAGAGGACCTGGCTTGTTGAGTTCAGGTTGAGGTTCAGGCTTACACAGCATCCAAAAGAAGATATTATGAGTGACATCATAACATGATATCACGCCAATCCATTATTGGCATTAAATTGCACTGATGGATGGCAGTTTCTCTTTGTCAGAAACAGTCAACAGCAAAATACATAAGTATCAAATTAGTAAATTCCTAGCATCTTTGAATTATTTTATGAAGTTTTAGGATTTTAAAAACATATTTATAAATGGATTAAAATTAATCAATGGGAAATCTTGTCGTGCATAATGCACACCACCACCCTTGATAGGATTGCGTTTATTACATGAGCCCCCAAACAGCACCATTATCTTCTGTGAGTACTTAATTTTATTTACTTATTCATGCAGCAGCATGAGAGGTATACCAGACTCTAAATTTACACTGATCACTTTCATTTCTGTAAAAGTGTTTTAGTGGGGAATCTCAATCCTTAACAGATCATGTGCAGTCGCATCTCATTCCTAAAAATCACTGATCAAGTAAGAAACTTTTTTTTTTTTTTTTTTTTTGAATAAGCCTTATGGGACTTAATCTCTTAATTTTAGACCAAAATGCAGCATGACTAATTTACTAATTCTGAAATCATTGCTAAATTACCAGTTTTTTAGAATTGGTAATTTACTAATGGATGTTAGAAATTGTGTTCCTTTTTACAAAGAAAGATGGCTGTATGTGCAAAAGAAATTAAAGCACTACATAAAACTTGTTGTTAGTGTCTTCTAAAATAATGGTTGAAAAGTGTGTTAAAAATAATTTTTGTCTTAAAACATTAGTCGTGTAATGTACAGTAAAAGTTTAACTGGAAAGCTCAGGAATGCTGAATTCCAGATACATAAAAATTTTGGACTTAATGGTATAAAAACAGAATTCATGTTACAAAAGCTAAATCAGTAGAAAAAAGTTCTCTGAAATTATTACTATTATTTATTTACTTTAAATCCAACGGTGAGCACTTGCCTATTTAGTAATGCCACTGCTAAGGCCAAAAATGGTGGGAATTTTATTGTGGAGGCACCTAACAGGTGGCCACCATTGCCTCCTGTAAAAGAATGGACTGCTGTAGGCTTCCCTAACCACTATACCATCTGGGCAACTAAGGCCAGAAGAGTTAATCTTGAGGCACCTAATAGGCAGCCACTGTTACATATTATGAAGAGACAGACAATTTACATCCATGCGTTCTCCTGGATTCAAAACTGGGACCTTCAGTATGGCAGCTAGAGTCACTAAACACTTTTCTGTCTGGGCAGTACTCTAAAATTATGAAAAACAATAATTTTTAATTAATAATAATTTTAATAATTTTACTTGTTAGCAAATTGAATTTCAGAAGCATACATTTAAAATCATATAAGATTTTGGGGAAAATGCATTTCAGTAATAAAAGTTGACTTATATCGTAAACCTTAAACATGAAGTAAAACATCTGATCTCATACCAAAGACCTGCCAAACATGAAAGTTGGCAGTGATGCCACCAGTCATTCCAGCAAAAGTTTAAATGAACAGATTGTTCATTGTTCAGTTAGATAATAAAGAGATACAAATCATAGATATAATGTAAAAAAAAATCACTTATCATAATTTTTCATGTTACATTGCCATTGTTCATATGTTTTCAGCATTGTATAGCATGACCTTTTTAATGCCCAAATCTTGTATCTCTGAAAGTATTTCATTTCATGCAGTCCCAAATATTAATCTTTTTTTTTAATGCAAAAGAAAATGAAATTTATATTCTTATTTACAAAAATTAAACTGGCTTATCAAGAACTAATTGACTTCATAACCAAACTGAGTTTATATTAAATCACACTTGTAATGTGTGTTGTCCATTATTGGTGCTAAATCATACTGTTTGCCATACAATATGTATGTATTACTATAATTACAAGCCCTGTAATGGCATTACAGATCTCTTGTTTACTAAATTCTTTCTAAAATTCTAAAGTATTTTGGCTAATTAAATGTCAGTTAGTTGGGCTTTTTTAGTGTACTTTTAGTAAAGAATTTTCCATAGCATAAACTTATTAATAAATTTTGTTTTATTACTTGTTATCTCTAATAGTTGGCATCTACATTTACAATCCTGAAAGATCTGATGTCAGAAAGGGATTTGCAAAAATAATAATCTAAGCTTCTAATTGATTCATTCTGAAATTTTAAAATGAAGTGTTATATATACTAAATTTAAATCTTAATTAAAGATTATTTTAGGATTCCGTATCATGAACTTATGATAGTAAAACTGTTAAGTATTTAAAATCCAAATTTGGTAAAGGAACTAGGTTCATCTTCATTCACTTAGTTTTAATTAAATAATTCTCCTACATGAATCCACTTGTAAATGTATTTAAGATTTCGGTGTTTCAAAATGAAAAATATATAAATGTAGATATATGTATTTGTGTATGACATGAAAATTTGCCAAGCGAAGTTGCATTTGAGATTCGTATAATTGTTATTGGGTGAATTGGTGATGTGCACAATGGACTAAGTTTTGCAAACAACAAAATTTTAATAAAAGAGCTTGTTGACTACAAATCTCTCAGGTGTATATTTATTTAAATAAATTAAGAAATTTGAAATATTACTGTGTAAAATATTAATTTTAAGATTGTTGTTGAAAATACAGTTGACCCTGGAAAAATGCAGATTTTAATTGCACATGCTTGTTTATATGAAGATTTTTCTTTGTTGTAAATTTTTATACTTCAGTTTGTAAGAAATATCGGACATTTTTTAAAGAAAATGTTGAATTGATTGATGTGTGTGTGTGTATATATATATATAATTAAAGAAAAGAGAACAAACTAAAAAAGACCTTTGTGGTCAAGAACCTTGCACATTGAGCTGCAAAATTTAGAAAAAAAGTTAAAAGAAAATTCTTAGTGCTTACGCTAAAAAGTATCTAAGATACTGTGGTTCCGGTGACAAATTTTAACATAAGTAAAATAAAATACTGCAAGATTGTTTTTATAATTACTTCTTCTGTCACATATAGAATTATTGATAAATGCAACTGTAAGTTATGTTGTAGCACAATTGCAAAGCCTTCAATCAAAATCAATTTTTCCTGACGTCTATCATTCGTTTTGACATATCTTTCATTTTGTACATTAACCTAATTCTTATGAAATACAACTTTTTATAATTTCATCCGCTTATCAAAATCAATTGTCTTGTTTTATTTAGATACCAACGCATTGTAAAAGTAAGATGTAGAAAAGAGAATTTTCGAACAAAGATCGAGTTGCGATTTTCCAGTTCTTGATACATCAAAAGAAAAACGAAAAGTGGCACAAAGGTGAATTACATTAGCTGCAAAACGATTTAAGTGCAATAGAATAAGCATATCAAGAATTTGGATAAGTGCTTCCAAAAATAATTGTGAAGGTGATTCTTATGCTAATGTTAATTCTTTGAAAAACAAAACTGGACATAAATGCAAAAATTATGGAGAAAAACTGGAAAAGCGTAGACTTATTCATGTTAGCAGAAGAAGCACCATAGATGCGGTAAACATAACCCTTGATATTTCTCCTGGATAATACATCTGCTGAATAATACATTTCTATCACTTCAACAAGCTATGCTGGAAGCAGTGAAGAATAATGGCCCCAATAATTTTAAACTCATGCATATAGGAAAAGCAAAGCTTTACAGCCAAGGTAAAAAGCCTACAAATTTTAAATAAAGTAATGATATTATTGAAAAATCCAGAAACTGTCTGAACAGTAATAGTAAAAATTGGGAACAATATTTTTTTATTTATTGTTTAATTTAATCTAATTTTTTTATAATAAATGTTGCATTTTTAATTAATTTTCTTTTGCTACTATTATTATGGGACAGAGGAAGTGTACTAACATGTATAATTTCTGCAATACTCAAGGAACTGAGAGACAGATGACATAATAGAGGGACTAATAATATAATTGAGGACAGTTAAAGTCAGATAATCTAGTTTCCAGTCGTTTGCCACACTCAGTAATTTGAATGCATATAGAAGTGCCATTTTTCATGCTTGTAGCTGCCAACTTTCATGGTTCAATTGGGACACATCCAGTTTTTCAACATGTCTCATTGTAAATCTTCAGATCTCCCATTTTTTAATTTTTGAGCTTTTACTAAGGAAAATGCTTCTTCCCAGTAACTAAAATGTTTTGAATTAATGAAACTTAAATTGTGTAAATTTATTCCCCATTCCTAATGATGTTCAACATAATTTTTCTTATTAAATTATAATTATACTAAGCCTTTCTAATTAAATTTTATTTGATCTCTATTGAATCTATTGCAATTTTTAATTAATTAACATTTGCATTTATTTTTTTTACGTCAGTTTAGGATATATTACTGAGTTAATATACTGATATTAATTATTAATTTTTTTAAAAGTACTTTGATAAATAAAAGCATTGCTTGCTTATGCAGGAATTTTTCAGTATAAAAGTGTTAGAAAATTACAAAATGAAGTTAACCAAAGAACATAAATTTGAAATATCTACTCAAGCATTAATACAATCTAAATCGTATTGTAAATACTTCAGTAACTGTAACTATGCCTTATAAAGTAAATTTAAACTTATTTTGAGTTCTTTTGAAATGATATCGCAGTATCAGAAACTCCCAGTTTTTCATATTTTGAAGTTAGCAGCTATGTTATGTAATTTGGCATTTTTTTTAGTATAGCATTGTTATGCAGCAGAATTGTTTTAATGAAAGCGAAATATTAATAGCCCATTAATTATTCTAAACTGCTGAAATCAGTCCAGAGTGAAACAGTTTTCTAGTCTCAACTTTATGATGAAAAAATATGCCAAATGTATTTGTAAAACTGAGAACTGCAAAGCATTGGAGATGTAATAAAATTAGATTTTCTCCTTCATGATGTTTTGATGAAAAGGCTGACTTTTGAACTTCAAAATATCTTCCTGCAACATCAGTATATTAAATTCCAAAACAAATTGATTAAGAATAATAAGTTATGCATATGTATTATTCATAGTTTATCTTCTAGTATGCTTTTGGTCTTTAAGTGTATTTGTAGAATTACTCTATGTAGAACTTTGTTAAAATTTTATATACCTAAAATAGCTTAAATTGTGTTTTTTAACTTTTTTTGGCCATCATGTATTATCTTGATAACTTGTGTTATTTGGAAATTTAACTATTTGGCATACTCGAGTTCCTAAAATTATTTTGTTATTGAACTTTTACCATACTATTAATGTATTTTCCCTTTTATTATTTTCTTTAAAATTTTTAATTTTAGTAAGTTATTTTTTACATCAAAATACAGCATTCATTATGTATAAGCATACAAAATGCATGTTAATTGACCTTTATATTATTAGTGAGATTTATGATAAATACAGATTAATGCATCTCTAATGAAACTTCCTATGAGAATGTGTATTCCAACAATGTGGGATGTTGCAGTCTCTAATTTTTGCATTAATTCAAGGGTCAACTTGAATAGATTTAAACTGGTATGCTGTTTTGTATCTACCATATTTGACGACATATAAGACGCACCCTTATTTAGAAGGCCACTCAAAAGGAAAAAAAAAAAGTTTTAATAGTCCGCGCGAAAGCGCGGTACCACAATAACTTAAAATGTGGTTTCTTTCAGTTCTCACGTTTCGTAAAAGCCAAATAAACAATCATTGAATGCAATTACCAACCATATTTTTATTGAGGAAAATTAACAAACGGCAAGCTATTTTGAACATGATATGTAAATTTCAATAATGAATAAATGAATGAACGGCTAGCAATCAAACATAATACAAAATCAATCAGAAACAACAAAAAACACAGATTCAAGGAAAATGTTGCCTATGATGAAATTAGACTTTAATCACTTTCAAAACCATAAAAATCCTTTTTACTATCATCATCATCAAAAACGAGAATATCGTACTACTGTTACACTACTTAATACACTACTGTTTCCGTCATCACCTTAGTAGTACAGTCAAAAGTCGTTAATCCGGACTTGTCGGGACTTCGGCGATTCCGGATTATCGATTTTTCCGGATTATAGATCATCAATTTAAATCTGGTAAGATAACATGCAGAAATTACAAAATTAAAAATATGAAACCGTAATTTATGAAATAAAGAACAATTATGATCTTAAAGGGTATCAAAATTTACAAAAAGAAAAAGATTAATATTTATTTGTTTACTTTATTAAACATTTCCTTCAATGTAAGTTGCTTCGTTTCATGTGATAATACTTTCTCTTTAATTCTATTAAACAGACATAATTTCTTGTTTAGTTACAAAGTTCCGCTGTTCAAGTCCTATAATTGCTGTGTTGAGAATACCAAATTTGTCAATCGAAATGTTTTCGTTTTCAATAACCTCTGGGTCACTTTCTTCACTATCGGAAGTGAATTATAATGACGAGGAACTTGATTTAAATCATATCAAAGACAGAGTAGATCGAGATGAAATACTACACTTAGTACCGAATTATAAACCAAATAAAATAAAAACATCTGCCCTGAAGATAAGGATAGTGCTGACAGGTCAACTTCCAATCAGCAGCGTGAAATTGATAAACAGATTTCGGATTTCAAAACATACTTTCTCTTTGTAAATACAAATTACATATTAGTAAATATATATCGGAAATTCTATTTTGACATAATCTTTCTAATCTATCATAATCTAATAATGACGTTTCTGCTGCAGAGCAGCGTGAAATTGATAAACAGATTTTGGATTTCAAAACATACTTTCGCTTTATAGTAAATGTATATCCGAAATTCTATTTGACGTAATCGAAAGTTCAAGCTTACTTTTAAAATTGCTCTAACAGTCTGCAAAAAATAATAAGCCGGATCCAATTCGAAGATTAAGGAACAACGCAATCTGCAACATTAACTGAATTAGATAATTTTAGCTTAGCGTATAACTCCGTTACACATTAAACGCGCATGCGCACAAACATATTCGCAGCCGTAAGGGTCTTACGCGCTCTCGTAAACGCCTGTGCACATGCATGAACGCGACGCATGCGCAGAAAGTTTGTAGCTTTGAGGTCCGGATTATAGATCATTCCGGATTATGGGTGTCCGAATTAACAACTTTTGACTGTATCACCTTTTTCAAATAATGCATCGTCTTCTGTTCCATCAAGAGCATTACTGATTCTGCACTTCTTAAAGGACTTAACAATTACTTCAGCATTTACGTCTCTTTTTACCCACTCTCACACTTGTGAAATAGAGGGCCGCTTCATTCTACCTGAGAGCGTGAGGGCGTGATGTGGCTCTCCTATCCACTTGTTCCATCGTTCTCGCACTTTTTCCTTAAATAGCTCATTCATGGCACTATGGGAGATGTAGAAAAAGTTATGTGTGTCTAGACCTTTATCCAGGCTAAAAATATCATTCAGTATTAAAAGTTAACCTGTGTCCTTCACGTATAAGACACAGGTAACTTTTTTGAGACCAAATTTAGGGGGAAAAGCGAGTCTTATATGCCGTCAAATACGGTAAACTTTTGATGCTAATGGTTGATTTTGGGCCCTTTGTTTGATGAGTTTTTTTTAACAAGTTTAAGTACTTGGAATACCTAACTGGTAATATCCAATTTACATTTTCAATAAATCACTCTAATTAGCAATGAATGTGTGATTAACGTAAAATTATTGAGAGAAATTGTCCAGAAAATGTTTGATATTGAACTTTAATCCATTTCTTTTATAAGTAGGCATTATGAATTTTTTACATCAGAAAAATAATGTCCCAACAAAGGTTTTTTTCAAATCTCCTACGTAATTTACGAAGTTTTAGGCACGAAGGGAAAGAGAATGCTGGCCGATCATGTTTTCTGTTCACTCTTTCGAAATTAACAGTAAGATGAGAAAAATTCAGTCTGATTTCTTTTTAGCTGTACCATAAATTTATTATTCAACTATTAGCTTGCTTCTTTTTTTTTTTTTAAAGTCTGATCACTTTCTAGCCACACCTCAAGTGTATATTCAAATATTTGCAACAATACAAAATCCAAAATCTGGACGTCCAGTATCAGGAATGATATCTGGACAGCTGTATATATATATATACAGTTTTAAGTCGTTTATATACAGTTTTAAGACAAATTTAAGTCGTGCATAAATATTTTCTGCTTATATAAAAATAATACTGGTTAAGCAAAGTAAACAAATCTGTTTTTTCATTTCACTTGTTTTATAAAAGTTTGTATTTCAAGAAGGGGTTACAGAGAGTCACTTCAAAGTTTAATGCATGATAATAAATATAATAGAGATATGCTATTGAACATATGCTATTGAAATTGTTGATCAAAAGTTAGCATGTTAGTAAGGAGAAAATATAAGTTAACTGTTTACAAAATATTTGTACTGTAGGTAAAATAGTAATGCATAATTTACATTTGTAATTATTCATATGTATTATATAAAGCAAATGCATATTGTTCAAGATATGTGAATCCCCCCATGTGTTTGATATGAACAAATTAAGCTAATAGAAGCTATTTAAATAACAGTTCTTCATGAGCAGGCCCAGAATGCCATGACACACAAGAGGGTTAAAAAAAATAAATGGGAATTTATAATGCATTTTGAATATGCCAGTTTGTGAACTTCTGGTTTTGTTCAAATCAAAATAGTATTTCACAAACTGCAGATCATATCCTTCATCAGCCAAATTCGCAGCTTTAAAGCAGCTTTTGCTAACATGTAACAAAGTAGAACCTATTCAGCATGATAGCTGATAAAACTTGTTGAGAAATTTAGAAGGAAATGTAAGCTGAAAATAATGAGTATCTCCACCACAAAATTAATGCTTGAATTTTTTTTAAAGGTTTGAATGTGTAAAGCTTTATTTATTTCATTAAAGCATTGATTGTTAGAAAATATTTATGTGTATGTTAAAGCTCACTCTAAAATTCATATCTAAAAGTATTTTATTCACATTCGTCTCTCTTTTTTAAAAATTCTATTTTTAAAAATTCTAATTTCAGGCAAAAACATTTACTCAGGCCTGATTGTGTTTATTTGTCAATATATGATTGTAGTTATGTGAAACAAAGAAAAATAAATTTTAAAGTAAGTCCTTAAATAATGTTTTACTTAATTAGAGTTGTTATATATATATATTAGAATTATTGCTAAAGTAGATAAGATATTAAACATTTAAATAATATTTGAGGAATAAATTCAAGTGAATTTGGCAAAATTTTTTTGTTAAAATAGAATTTTAACAGGATGTTATTGGGTGTTACAAAAGTGGATATTACCAGTATTTCATTGTTGTCCTATCTTCAACTCATATAATGTTTTTGATCCTCTAACTTCATATGGCAGCTTATTGAATAAAGAACAAGGTAGAAGGAAATTTTTATTGTTTCTCATTTTTTCCATCATCGTAGTGATTTTTATTATTGCTAATAATACTTTAATAATTCATGTAGAGTAATACCTTGATTATATTTAATCAGTGTAATAAGTTTTGTAATGTACTCTAATTCTTCGTCTAAAATTTGTCTATGTTGTAGCATATGTGTGTCCAATTGCCAGTGTCAGATCTATGAATACGAAATGAAAAGAAAGTCCTTGTTTACTTTGAATTCAGTTTGTTTGTCTCTAACATATTCATTTAAATAATAATATGCGAAAACATGGGTGCTTATTATGTTAATAAAGAACAGTAATTGCGCATTATCGTGTGAAGTGCGAAAACTCATAGAGCAGCGCAATTTAGTGCTATTGATAAATAAGTGTAATGTAGAAACATTATAATATCTGCACTTTTGCCTGATGTAACCACAATTGATTCTTGGTAAGTTACCTTTTTTTTTATGAAGAAAACATAAATTAACTTTCATCATTGTATTTTTTCTTTCATTTTGGTTTTAAAAAAATTTAAATCTGCACCTGCCTTGTACAGAATGACAAGCAGTGGATTCTTTTCAATGTTACAGGATGATATCATCAAGAAAAGTATGTATTAATGAATGCGACATGATCAGTTAAATTAGGCTGGCAAAACAGTAATTGGTTGAAAGTATTAGCTGGGAGAAATTTGTGCTGCAAAACTTCCAGTAAAAACAAAGGGCATACAAAATAGTAGAAATAAATGAAAGCCTTTTTCACAAAGAGGAGGAATGAAGTGAATCAAATATTGATTATTTTTTTCAATAAAGAAGCATCAGACCTTTCAAAATTCCACATGAACATTTGGCAGAACTTCAATGGGATCTCTACCAACTCTCATGGTTTTAATATTAATCAACTTTGATATGATATGGGATAATACATAAGTAGCATAAAAAGATTGACATTTTCAAAGCATACATAAATTCACAGTATCATATTTACTCGAAAATAAGAACCCCTTTGAATTTAAGACTTTCCTTACATTTTAAGAAATAAAACTCTAGGTGAATAGTTATAAGTCTTCAAGTAATTCCAAGAAAGAGAATCTTTAAGCATTTTTACATATATGATTTATTTAGTATTTAAAAATTTAATATTGTTAATTGATATAGTATTGATAATTAAACTAATTTCCCTCATTCTGCAGTTTCATTTAACATAATACAAATTATAAGACCTTACCAAATTTTAGAATAAAAAGGGATCTTATTTTTGAGTAAATATGGTAAT